CTCCGCTTTGTTACCCTTAATTACTGTTACCTCTGAGCCACAAAGGCTAACTCTCAAAGCGGGAACAGAGGCTTTTGGAGCCCATCTCTGCAGCAGTGGAGTGAGATACAGAGTCAGAACATGGAGCCTTCCTCGTAGCCTAATGCTGAAGGGCTTGCACCTGGAGTTGCCAGTCGGTCCTTGTCTGATAATGCAAGTCTGTCTCTGGACCCCACATCAGGAACTTCCAGTTCCTTTGGAGCATAGGCAGTGGCTCCCTAAAGCCATAATGTCAGCGTGCAGGAGCGCTGTCTTGCATGGTAATGTCTGACCATAGTGAAGTGCTAGTTTCATAGGCACTACCTTGTTTCCAGCTCCCCTTGTTTAGGGGAAGAGCATTACGCAGCAGCCTGTCCTATGATCCCTACTACAAAAACAAGGCCCCATTGAGCCTGGCTGGATGCTGTCTCAGGCTCTGGACATGGAGCCCATCCCCCTACTTTTTAGGATGGTGTACGTACTCCTCCCCCTCAGCACCCCTACTGGGCGATCACTGTCTCCAGCTGGCAGATTGAGGCCATGAGACCCTGGGGCTGAAGTGCTCAGAATAGCAGGCTCAGCCACCTCTCCTCTGGTGGGCTGTGGAGGGTGTTCTTGGGCAAACTACTGTTACCAGCATCATCTTCCCCCAAAGGCCATCAGAGATGTCTGGGCCGGCGATAGCATACAGTGACCACAACTATATGAGGAAGAAGAGTTGGTATGTATGATGGGGGTGGATGAACAGCCTAGGATTTCCTGCTCTAGGAGCTTCTGCTTCCAGATTTGGTCTGCTGCAGCATGGGCTGGGGCCACCCTTTCATCTGACAAGGAGCAGCACTAGCTTGGTGCTAAGAGCTCTCGGTTTCTAGTACTGGTTCTGACCAGGACTTGTAGTAAAATCTCCCTGCCTGCCAAGGGTTTGCTCCCCTTGGTACATGGCTTTAGAAATACTGAACATGTAATGAGAAGGGCTTCTGTCTCATCTCTAGGTGCATGCAAGAGCCCTGACCTTCACTCGAACAAATCCTCTGCATCCTCTCCTCTTCTAGCACCAAGGTTTCTAGTTTAAACTAGAGCACACACTTGTCATCCAGGTCACTTGGCCTTGTGCTTGTTCCTTAAACATATGTCGATACTGCCCCCCACCCCCAAAAAAGACATACCCAGCAAAACTGGGCCTTGTGATATGGGGCTAAATATCAATGTTGCTGTTTCCACTTAAGCTGGAGCCCAAGCTGAGCCCTGGTGAGGGAGAAAGGTCTCAGAGCCTGGCTTCCAGCCTGAGCTGGAATGTCTACACTGCAAACGAAACAGAGACACCTCGCTACAGGGCTGAAAACAGCAGTGTAGGCAAACCCTTCCTGTTGAGCTGAGTCCAGTTGCAGGCTCTGTGATGTTCTTGTGTGAAACTGGTGCCATTGGCTGGGCCTAAGCAGTGCACTGTGAATTGATTTTGTGTTTGCAGCTCAAATCCTCCCTGGTACTGAGAGGTGATTCTGCTGTAGTGACTTAGACGGCTTTTTATTCCACTAGCGTGCACCAACCCTGGGCAGAGAGTGGGGTGCTAGGTTCAGTACATAGCAGTAGCCCCATCCCAAAACTCCCCATGTACAGACAACAAGACACAGCCGGTGCTTAAAGCAACTGAATCCTAGAAATGTCAGTCTGTAAGAGACCTTGAAGTAGTCAAGTCCAGCCCTCTGTGGTAAAAGCAGTCCCAAGTAAACCTAGACCATATACAATCTGTGGTCTACCGTAACCCCCAGATCCTTTTCAGCAGTACCATTGCCTAGCTGTTTGTTCCCCATTTTGTGTTGTGCATTTGATTTCTCCTCCCCTCATTCCTTAAGTGTAGTACCGTGTATTTCTTTACTGAATTTCATCTGGTTGATGGGGAAGGTGCAGGGGCTGAGGTGAAAAGTGAGCCACTCATGATTGGCAAAGGCAGCAGTGCCAAACAACTGGCCTTCCCGCAGCATGAGGGGGTCTTAAGGAGGTGTAGTTATGGTCATGGACACAGATTCCACCTCATTCTTCTGAACTGGGCCCATTCACTCGGGCACTGGTCCTAATGAACTACAGGTACTCCTGAGGGCATTCTGCACACAGTATTTTAAAATTCTGCATATTTTATTTGTCAAATAAATGTGACTCCAGCATGGCAGTGGGGAGCACAGGCCACTGGCTGCACAGAGGTGGGAGATCACAGTGCAGCTGTCCCCCATGGCCCCCAGGACATAAACTCAGTGATGAGGCTGCACCCAGCCTTGACACAGAGCAAGGAATGTGCCTGCCCCAGAAACACCCTAGGGCCCTGCCCCTCCATACTAGGTGTCGGCAGGAAGACTCGGCAGGGCAGTATCTAAGTGTGGAGGGGTTTAGTGTGGGGGGGATCCAGGTGTGGGTTGAGAGGGTTCTGTGTGGGGCAATCTGGTTGCAGGCAGCTCACTGGACATCTGGATGTGCAGGGGCTTGTTGGGGCGGGGGGAGGTTCTGGGTGCAACAGTAATGGGACTCTGCACGGGGTCCAGGTGAAGGTGGTTGGGGCTGGGGGGGGGGGAGGGCATCTGGGGGGGCTTAGTGGGAGGTCCAGAAGCTGGGGGAATGAGGCTCAGTGGGGTGGGGATCCAGGTGCAGCTGGTTGGGGCTTGGTGGGGTGGGGATCCCGGTGTTGGTGGCTCATTGGGGTGCTCCAGGTGCAGGGGAAGTGGGGCTCATTGAGGGGGATTCTGAGGCGGGGGGGAGGCTCAGCAGGAGGGCTGGATGCATGGGGATTAGGAAGGTGGGGTGCAGCTCCCTGTACAGGGATCCCTCCCTGTGCAGCTGAGGAGTGATGGGTGCAGGAAGCGGGGGAATGGGGAGTTTGCAGGGCTTCCTGCAGCCGGCAGGAAAAATTGGGGGGTGGGTCTGACCCAGCCCTAGATGCCATGTAGGGGAAGAGGAAGTCCTGTGTTCCCCAACTGGGACTTGCAGCTGAGCCTGGCGCAGGATAGGAGTCACCAGCCAGGTCTTCCTCAGTGCTGCCTCTTGCCCCACAGTGCTTTACCTCTCTGTTGGCTGCCCCCGGCCCCTGAAACATACTGCTAGTGGTCTCTGTGAGCCAGGAGTTCCCTTCTGGTCCGAATTACCATTGAGCCTAAAGGGCATCCGCTGGGCTGTGTCAAGGAGCCCAGGACAGAATGGGGGCATTGGCAGAATAATGAGCGGGGGGCGGGGGGAGAGATGCTGGGCTGCAGTGGTTGGCAAGGATTGGTGGGGGGTTGCAAGTAACTCAGAAATGGGGGATGCTCAGGCTGAAAGGGGCAGAATTGGAGAAATGGGGGGGAGGTCATGGCCTATCAGCCGGTGTGACAATCTGGCTGTTGGTGCTGTGCAGCCTCCTGGTTTGGGCCGGGCCGGGGAAGGGGGCGGCATCTGGCTGTGAAGCTGGAATGGCTGAAGTGGGGCTTTGCTTTGTTTCTGTGCCTTGTGGACAGATGGATCCAATCTAGCAGAGCTGGGGCCACCTGCGCTGTGGCTTGGGGGCTCCTCGCAGACGTGTGCTCTCACAGCAGAGGGCCCGCGTGCGGGTGGCTGTCGGTGGGATTGGCCACAGTAGGGATAGGGGGACACTTTTGTGCTGAGCCCTGTCACTTGGATGAAGTGAGCTGTAGCTCACAAAAGCTTTTGCTCACATAAATTGGTTAGTCTCTAAGGCGCCACAAGTACTCCTTTTCTTTTTGAGAAGTCAGGGAGGCAATGTTTAGGGTTAGCAGGGGGTCAGGGGGCATCCTGCCGGGAACCCAGGGAGTTAGGATTTCTTACCTAGAGTGTTGCAGACTGAGGCTGCGAGAACCAGACACAGAGCTGCCTCTGTCTCCCCCAGTTGAAATCATGGGGTGGGGGGGGGGGGCTCTCTGGCCAGTGAAAGGGGCCTCTGGCTTCCCAGCCCATTTCCTGCTGAGCCCCTCACCTCTCCCCACTTCCTCAGCTACAGCATTGGCCAGAGCTGGGAAAAGAACCCAAAATACACCACAGAAGTTTTCTTCACAAGGCAGAGCCCGCAGCCCAGCACCTGCCCTGGGTCCGGGGCTGGGGGTGAAGAGGGGATCTCAGCTTTCCGAGCCAGATTTCAATGGGCCCTGGGCTGGGGGAAGGGCAGGTGCGGAGTGAAATCAGCACCAACCCAGGGGGAAGAGGGGACCCTCACTCTGCCCCCTCGGTGCTTGAACGAACCATGGGGTTGGAGCATTAACTCCTAGTGCTGCCCCGTTTGCCCAATGCTCCAGGAGCCCGAATGCTGCCCCTCGGGCGGGGGTAAAACGGAGCAGATCACAGCTGATAGCTTTCATAGGGGGTTGGCTAGGCTGGGGTCACTGGCCCCAGTGCACGCTGGGACCTGTAGTTTCCCCTGGAGCAGCCCGGCAGAACTCCTTGGTCTGAGTTTGGCTGCCACCCTCACCCCCCCCCCCCCTTCTCTTTGCTAACCTGCAGCTGCCATTGGCCGGTAGATACCGCCCAATGCAATGCCCCAGAGGGAAGTCGTTTCCCAAGGGCTGCCCATGGGCTCTCGTGGTGACCGCTGTGGCCCATGCTGGGCTGCTGAGACACGCTGCAGGGACAGCTCAGGAGTCCTGGGGCCCACTGGGAAGGAGGCGGTCCCAGGGTGTCCCCAGAGGCAGCTGCCAGGGAAAGTCTCTGGCACCGGCGCTGTTCGGATGGAAACCTTCTGCCCCTTTGTGCTGAACAGTCCGAGCTAGGAGCTGCCCAAAGAGCCTGGTGTGGTCTGGGTGGGGGCTCTGGCATTTATGGGAGCAGAGGCTGCAACACCATGCTGGCTGGGTGGGAGGCAAGGTGTGGGGGGAAGCCTGGCTGAGATCCTGCTCCTCTTGCTTCACCGGGGTTGGGGGGGGGGGGGGCGCTGTCTTATTTCCTCGCAGGAGGGAGCGACAGCCCCCCGAGAGTCAGATCCCGGTTTCACCGTTGCACAAGATCGTTGCATGGGCAGGAGGTGGTGCTATGCCATCAACCCGCTTGGTTACAAGTGGGACCATGTTAACCTGACCTATAAGTGAGTGTACCGGGGAGGACAGGGGTGCGTCAGCCTGATCTGCAGCCCCCCCAGCCATTCCCATATGGAGCACCCTACACAGAGCTCAGCTGAGCCCTCTCCAGCCTGGCCCACAGCCCCCATCCCTTGCAGTTAGCCCAGTTCTTGGCTGTCCCTGTTCACCCTGTTTGGCTTTGAGAGGCCTCAGAAGGTGGCTCCACAGCTGAGCCTGCCCCTGGCTCCCACCGCCTCTGCACCATTGCATGTCTCTGGAGAGCAGCGACTCCCTGACACCAGCCTTTGCTAGCAGGAGCTAATTGCTTCCTTCAGGACGATAATAGCCCCGTGGCTGCCAGGAGCCCAGAGGTCTCTGTTGGATGCTCCCACTGCACAGGAAATGGGGCCCTGACTCTGCTCCGAACCTGCTCCCCCTGGGCTATGCGTGGCAGGGCGCAGGGGCTGCCTCATTGAGCCCACCCGGGGGCTCAACCAACCCAAATAATCTCCCACCACTCCTGCAGCTGGGCTCTATGACCTTATGGGGACGTCCCTGCCATGTAAGCACCCAGGGTACAGAAGGAACAGGACCCTGGCACCCTGCTGCTCCACTTGCCCTAATACAGTCTCTTTCCATGCTGTGCAGACAGGCCCCTTCCACATAGCTAGATGCACTGGGGAAGGGGCAGAGTGGGAAGCTGGCCTCAACTCAAGAAGTAGTTTGTGGTATGAAGGAGTTTGAGACTTGTTAGTGTAGCCAGCCTCCCCTGTCGGGAGAGGCTGGGTTTGGTTCAGCTGGGACCCTACACACACAGACAGCACTCCTGCCCCACCCTGCACAGTGCCCCCTGCTGGGAGAGGCTGGGTCTGGCTCAGCTGGGAGCTTCCCCCCCCCCCCCCATAGCCAGGGCTCCTGCCCTGCTCCCTACAGTGCCCACTGGTGGGAGAGGCTGGGTCTGGAGTAGCTGAGGGGACTCCCACCCCTTCCCTACAGGAGCCCTGGCTACAGTAGTAGAGGCTGGAGGAGCAGCTGGGGCCCATGGGTCACCCTCCCCTCCTCCTGCTGCAGGATTGTGCAGTTCCCCAGCACGCTGAACAAGGGTGACACAGAGAGAGCCATTGCTGCTGCCTTCCGCATGTGGAGTGAAGTCTCGCCCCTCGGCTTCCGGCGCCTGCCCCCTGCCCAGCCGGCTGACATCACCGTAGGTAGAAATGAGGGGCTGGGGATGGGGCTAGGGGTGCCATTGGCACGGCACCCTGTGTCTCCCACTGGTGCTCTCCCTGCCTCTTCTGAGCTCCCTTCTGCCTTCCTCCTGTTTGTGCAGATGGCTCTGGGGTTGCCTCTGGGGGTCGCAGACCCAAGCTGCAGGGGAGCCATCTGAAGGGCTTTGAGACCATGTGCCACCCCTGTTCACTCCTTCCCTGCTGCCAGACCCTGCCCCAGCAGAGCATACAAGCCCCCAGGCCCTCCCCTGCACACACCTGGCACCGAAGAGGGGCTGTCACAGGCAGACTTAGCAGATCCAACCACACCTCCTGCTCTCCAGCAGGTTCCAGAGCTGGGATTCCTGCTCCCAGCCACCAGCTGACTCACTGCCCCACCTTTGTTACCTTTTCCCTGGGATTCACATGGCCCTCTGCTTCCAGGACGTCTTTCTGGTTGTTGTTGGGCAGGCTTCTACACCTTTAACCACACTGACTGCTGGTTTTCCCCCGGCACCCCTGCTTCGATGGACTGAACGGGGAGCTGGCCCACGCCTTCCTGCCGCCCCGCGGCGAGATCCATTTTGACAACCATGAGTTCTGGATCCTGGGCCGCTCGCACTTCAGCTGGAAACAAGGTAGGAGGGAGCATGCGGCGGCTAGAGGCCTGCCAGGGTTGGCAGGGCAGGCGCCTCTGCTGTCCTGAGATCCCTCACAAACAGCCTTGGGTTGTTTAGCGCCTCTGTGAGGTTCGTTATCCCCTTCACCAAAGCACCAGCTCCACCCTGCGCTGCACGGCTAGGCCAGATTTCCTAATCCCCAACTCTTTCTCCAGGGAGACTCTCACCCGGACACCATCAACCCCCAGTCTGGTCACTCCTCTCCTCCTCCATCAGCCCTTTCCCGGGGGAGCCAATTAATGCTTAAGTGATGAGAATGGTCGGCTACCATTTGTCACAGCCAGCAGGGCCGGCTCCAGGCACCAGCTTTCCAAGCAGGTGCTTGGGGCGGCAGTCAGAACGGGCCGGCAGTCCGTGTCCCATGGCAGCAATTTGGCGGCAGCTCTGCCCCCTTCCCACCACGGCAGCTTTTGTGCGGCAGCCCCGCTGCTCTTCCGGGGGCGGCAGCAATTTGGCGGCGACTGCTTGGGGGCCTCAAAATTGGTAGAGCCGCCCCTGACAGCCAGGCTCAGCCTGCCCCCACCCCCAAGGATCAGGGCATTATGCTACCCTCCCTCTGCCCCCCAGTAGGAGCCCACCCACTACAGCTCCCTGTGCCACAGCAGAGCCTTGGGGTGGGGAAGAGTGGCGAGTGCTGTCTGCACAGACTACAGCCAGCATGGGGCGCCTTGTTCTGCTAATGCTATAGAGCCGGATGCCTTCCCAACTCTGCCCAGGGCCGTAGGGCATGCCCCGGCTAGGCCAGCCCAGGAGGAAGAGATTCTGCTTGTGACTAGCTCATGGCAGCTCCCCTGGGCTCCTCCCAGTTCCACTTAGGGGGAGATGACTTGCAGCCAAGGCCAGCTCGGAGCAGCTCCAGCCTATGATTCTCCCAAGGGTCCCGGTTCAAGTCCCAGCTGCATGAGCTTGTGCCCTGGGGTGGCTTCTTCCCGGGCCCCCAGTAGAGATTGCAGCTGGGAATTGCTCACCCCCCACGAGGCCCCTCTGCTGCAGGGATCTGCTGTCTCCCCTTCCCCATGGGTTTGCCAGGTGCCTTGGGTTGAGGTGCCGTCCATCTACAGATGACACAGGGGCCTTGCCTCTCTCATCGCCCCAGAAAGCTGCAGTGTCTCTTTGGGCCCAGCTGAGCTGGCGAAGAGCGAGCTGGCTGCAGCTCAGTCAATGAAGGAGCATGGAAGGAATGGCAGGAGGAGCCTTCTCTGTGGCGGTGGCCTCCGGCCAGTGGGGCTGCACTCTTGGGGGGCCTGTGGATGCCTCACTGTTCCTTGAGTCCTGGCAAGGGGACGTACATGGCTCTGCACCTGCTTTTGGCACCCAGGTGCCATTTCCTCCTGGGTGGTGGGTGCTTTCCTACAACCCTATCATCCGTCAGCTCGGAGTGCGCTGTGCGTTGGGAGTGCGCAGCTTGGTTCTTGCAGGCAACAGCTGAAGGGACACCATGACGTCCAACTCTGCCTCTTCTTCCATGCCCCTGCAGCTGATCTCTTCTCCCTGGCAGGGTGTTCTCCGTGGGGAACTCCCCCCCTTTGGAGCTTTCTGCTCCTCTATTTGGGCTTGTGTGCCAGGCTCCCAGATCCTGCCAGGCTGCAAGGTGAGGGCCCAAATTCAAACCCCACCGCAGGAGCCCCTTGTGCTGCTGCGTGGGGTGGGAATTCCCCATCAAAGCCAATATTCCCTGATGTTGGGTTGGGTTAGGACAGGGGCTGTGTGCAGGGGTGGTGGGGAGCTGCAGCGGTGGCTCTTCAAGGATGCTTGTAGTTGGGTAGAAGAGAGAAGCCAGGCTGGGCTTGCTCAGGGGGCTGGTCCAAGAGCCCTCTCCCTGTACCAAGGTGGCTGGGAGCTGCCAGGGTTGGCTCTGCAGCATGTGTGTGTGGTCCTGCTCCCTTGGGGCACTCTGCTTTCAGGGGTCTGGCTGAATCACCTGGTCCAGGTGGCAGCTCATGAGATTGGCCATGCCCTGGGCCTGTGGCATTCGCGGGACGTCCATGCGCTCATGCACCCAAACGCTACCTACAGCAGGACGTGGCGCATCGGCCACGATGACGTCTGGGCCGTTCAGCGACTGTACGGTAAGGGGGTGCCAGAAAGTGCCAGCCCTGATGTGTGGCCAGCACTCGTGTGCCCAGCACCTAGTCGCCATCTGGCCCCAGAAGAGGGGACAGTCCCCTTGAGGGCCCCTTTGGCTGAATCATCGTCCTGCACCGAGACAGAGTCCTACATTGGTCCAGCTGCATCCAGCCAGGAGCCCAGAACGTAGAGCTGCCTTGGGACCACCTTGGCTAGGGTATCCCATGGCTGCCACAGCAATCGTTATGGGGGCGGGGTCACTGGGAGGAAAATGAGCAAAGGTCAGTCCAGACCTTATTGCATCCTTTGGCCTGTGACAGGCAGCAGGGAGGCAGCTGGGGATAGGATAGGAGCCCCATGGCTTGGAACAATCCTGCCCAGCCCTCAATTGGGGTTGCACTGCCTGGGGCTCTTCCACCCCAAATTCCTTGGCTGCTTCTGTGCCAAAGGTCAGTCCCCCATGTTGTTGGGCCCCAGGTTGGGAGGAGGTGGTTTTACTTCAGTGCTCATCGGGAGCCTGCCCTGAGTGCTGTCCCTGCAGGCTGTGTGGATGAGAAGCGGCAGTGTGAGCCTTGGGCCCGGCTGGGATTCTGCATGCGCCGGCAAGCCTTCATGAAGAGGCACTGCCCCAAAGTCTGCAACTCCTGCTTCGGTGAGACACCCCAATCCTGCTGCTGCCTGGTGCTCTGAGCTACATAAACCAGCTGCCCACAGGTCGACCAGCCCTGCCCAGGCCCCTGCAAAGCAAATGCCACCTAGCACCTCCCATTCCCCTCAATCCCCATCCAGCCTCTGCAGTATGAGAAGAGGTCTGGGGGAGCTGCAAGGGCCCTCAGCTGTAGACGTCACTGTTCTTTGTCTCTCTCTTTCAGAGCCCCTTGCTGTCTCCTCCCCCCCCCCCCCCCCCATTCACACCAAGTACATCTCCGAAGGCAGAGTCATAACCTTCTGCTGTGGGCTGAACTCCTCCAGGCCACACCTGCAAGTCAGGTGAGCCACTACCCCCTGCAACTGGGGGGCCCTTCTTGGGTTCAGAGCATTGATGTGTCCAGGGTCACAGACAATTCACTCTCCCCACAGTAGCCACTAGACCTGCCCTAGGTCTCTCTACTCTAGCCCCATAGGGCTGATCTCTGCCGTAACCTCCTTGTCCGGAAGCTTGATGTCTTCTGAGGGCGAAGGTCTTTCCCAGTGCAGCTCGCTTTCCTGGAGCTGGTATCTGGGCAGATGCTACCAGCTGTGGAGGGCAGGAAGGAGGGAGGCTACTGCTTTGGAAAGGCAGAGCAGATGGGGTTCAATGGCTACTGAGCATTGAACACCCCTCTAATAAGGAGCAATCATGGTTCCTGATTCTGACCATGCCTGAATGAAACAAACTTCTCCACCGTGTTCTGTGTATAAAGCCCCTGTCTAAGAGGCACAGCGGAGAGATGGAGGGAAGGGAGAAATGGCCTGATCTCTGCTGTAGCTGGGAGCGCTCTGGGCAGAGTGAAGGAGGCTGTTAACAAACCAGAAGCTGCAGGAAAGGCATTAACATTTGCAGGGTCACACTGAGTGATGGGCCAGAGGTGGCTGGTGCTAGTTGAGAGCAGCTGCCTTGGACTTACTGTACTGCCCCCCTTTCTCTTGCAGCTGGTACAAAGATGGGGAGCTCCTTTCAGATTCTGTTCCCCGCTTCAAGCTGCTGCCATGCCAGGAGCTGTGCGTTCGTGCCACTATGTTCAGCGAAGGGCAGTACACGTGCTTGATCCGCCACGCCAGTCGGATCCTCCGGGCCCATTCTTGGCAGATAAAGCTCAAGGCCAGGAGTCCTTCCTCTCACAAGCAACCAGGGCTCTGAAGGGACATACAGGGAAATGCATGTGCCTGATTCATAGGGTGAGGGATGCATGCACAATTGTAAACATGTGCCTCGGGGCCCTAGGGCCCTGAGGGGGAACAGTATCGGCCCTGTTCTTCACAGCAGTCTCATTGCTCGGGTCTCTCATCACTCAGCATCCTGCCCCATCTCCTCTGGTTCCTCCTCGTTCTAGGCACTTAAACCAGGGCTGGCCAAATAGCAGCGAGTTCAGTGCTAGAACTCTGCTCCTTTCATTGGCCCACTCCCAGTGCTGGTAGAAGCTGCTCTGCTCACTATTCCTGAGCCAGGGCAGTGATCTCCTGCTGGGAGGAAGTGAGGGTGAGATTGCTATGGCCTGCTTCCCCAGGCCCTCTGCTTGCTTTCATTCCCTACCCCCCCAGTTAGCTGATATCTGTGAGCATGTCTCTTCCCCTGTCCATGCACCTCAAGCCTGTGCTTATATCCGGATCCACCCTGCTCTAGCCCTGTCAAACCAGGAGCTGAATTAAAACCCAGGTGAGAATCCCAGCTGCCTTCTTCTGCCCGTCTTCTTTTGGCTCAGTTGCCCTTTACAAGTAGTGATTTGTCATTTTCCGTGTCCACAGCCTGGCCTAGTGCAGCTGTTAGCTCTGTACCCCAGCCTTTAAGGGTGTGGATGTTCGTTTTCCTGGAATAGATCCTTGCAATTTCCCGCCAAACAAGTTATCTGCAAGAAATGGCAGCAGCGTGGGCTGGAAATGCTGCTTATCCAACGCTCCCTTGTGATTGGTCGCTCGGGCCCTTTGGCGATGTCTGCACTGTGCACCAACTGCCTCTGGGGCCCGGCTGGGCCCTGGCACGGAGCAGCTCCTCAGGTGCAGAGGGCTGCTACCGTGCCGGATAGAAATACACCCCGCCTCTCCTTTCAGCATCTGCGGTGGGGATCGGAAGGGAATGAGGGGCTGAAGGAAAGGGGTATTTTAACCTCCTGCCACCCAAGTCCTCAGCTATCTTCTCAGCTGCAGTTTGAGGCCCCGTCTCGTGGAAAAGCCGCAGTGGGAGCTCTTCGCAGGGGTGGTGTAGCCGTGTCGGTCCTAGGACATTAGAGAGGCAAGGTCCTTGGGCGCGGGGCAGAGTCATTGATGAGGGGTGGTGAGAGGCCCGCAGTCCCCAGCACCCCCTGGGGGTCGGGATCCTGGCTGGCTGGATCCCTGGGGCTACGGGGGGTGGGCTGGGCTGAACCCTGTTTGGTTCCCAGCAGGGGGGCGGGGCCCAATCTCTGATCACTGGGGCAACCATGTCGTTGCCCCGCCCCCTGCCCTCTGCGCTCCGCCCCCTGGCCTGGCCTCAACTTGATCCCCACTCTAGAGCCCCGCCCCCAACCCCACTGCACGCACTGCGCATGCGCTCCCGCAGTCCCGGCGGGAACTTCGAGGACTGCGCGCCCGAGGCAGAGGCGCATGCGTGGGACTCCGTCTCCCGCCGTCCCTCGCGCTGTGGCTTGTCCCGGACTCCATTTCCCAGCAGCCCGCGCGCCCGGCGGACTTTTTCCCCCGGCGTGCCCCGCTCTTCCCCCTCTCCCGGGGCTGCGTGGGCCGGTGGCGGCTGGTCTGGGGCCTGCGGTCCGGTGCCGGGCTGCGCGGCGATGGCCTCCTGCGCCGAGATCCTACGCAGCGAGTTCCCCGAGCTGGACGGGGAGGTGTTCGCCTACGTGACGGGTGAGGGGGTGGGGCTCGGGGGCGCCCTGCCCGCTGCCTCGGCGGGTTCCCGCCTCTCCCCGGGGCTCTGAGGGGAGGCGGGCGCCGCTGCCCTCCGCTCCGCCGCCTGCGGTCCGGGCCTCGGCTGCTTCTCCCTGGGCCGGTCTGAGACACCGGGGGGTGCCGGGTGTCCTGCCCGGAAGCCGAGCCTCCGGAGCAGCCCCGCTCGGCGGGACCCGGGCGCTCCCCTGCCGCCTTGCTCCAGCTGCCCGCGCCGCGGAGAGTCATTCCCGGCTGGCCGCCCTGCTCGCCCGAAGGCTTCCTGCTCGTGGGGGAGGCTTCAGTCCCCGGCGCCCGAGGTGCGGGGTCTGATGATCTAGGCGCCGCTGCAGCCCCAGCGGCGTAGCCTGAGCCTCTCCAATGTGAATGAAATTTCTCTCAATTCCTGGGAGAGAGGGCGTCTGGTCCCGTGGTGGGGATCTGAGGCGCCTCATTCCTATGGGCTTTGATGTCAGTGAGGCGTCTAAAGGGCTTGAGGATCTGGGCCAGAGTGACTTACTCATAGTCACACAGGGTGTCTGTGGCAGAGCCTGGGATTGAACCCACAGCTCTCTTATTAGTGCCAGTCGAAGAAACCAAGAGTCCCAGCCCACTGCCTTAATCCCAGAATGATCCTTGGTGCTCAGTTAAAATGATGGGGAAGTGCTGAGCCCGTGACACTGGCTGTTATTTGGGTTGGGATTATTTGGGGCTTGTTGCTCAGGGGCTTGTCCCTTTCCTCTTGCAGGGGTCCTGCATAGTGGCAGTGCAGATTTTGAGTCTGTGGATGATCTCTTTGAAGCGGTGGGAGAGCTCTTGCAGGAAGTGTCCAGAGACTCCAAAGATGATGAGGACATCCGGGAAATCTGCCAGAGGATGTACAACACTCTCCACCTGTAAGTACCCTCCATCAAGTGACGTGGTGGGAGGCTCTTGGGCCTCAGTGCAAGGATCTGGAAACAGGTCTGGGGCCAAGGCAGTGGGTGAGAGATCAGGTGTGCTCTGGGTCTTGTGATGTGTTGGAGCCTGCATTTTACTTTGGAGCTGTGGTGGCAAGCGTCAGCATCTGGAATGTATGGCACGAGGATGTAAAACGGGGTGACAAAGAATAACTTAGAGCAGCATCTGAGACTCATTTGGGGAGGTGTGGCAGATGGGAATGTTGCAGAGAGGATGGTATCTTGGCAGCTTTACTCCTTGACTCTCCTGTATGTTACAGGGATGAGGAAAACTCACGGGGACGCAGGCAGGTGCTGCTGGATGCCCCAATTCAGCTTTCCAAGATCACAGACAACTATGGTGAGTAACAAATGTTTAGCAGCCCTTGCTCCTAGGACATCGACCTTCAGTGCTTGAGCTGGACGGTCTCCCAGCTGATCTGTTCCTTCCAACAGAAGCATCATTGTGGTGGGAAGTTTATAAACCCTGGAGTTTATGGATTGGAATGGGACTCCCTCCTTGGAATTTTGAGGAGCTCATCCTGTGTAGTGGTGGCCTTTGAGACAGTGAGATCTAATGGCAAGAACGGAACTAGGAATAAAGACTTAAATTCTAGTCTCAGCTCTGCCACTCGCTTGCCATGTGCTCTTGGGCAAGTCATTTCACCTTTCTCCATCTGTAAAATAGGTTATTAATTTTCCTGCCAGGGAGCTGGGTAGATTTGTATTAAGCACTGAGTTTGCTTTGGCAGAAGGTGCTGGAGAGAGAGAAGGGCTGAGTGTTACTGTGCCTTTCTTGTTGATTGCAGATTCTGGCTTGGACCTGTTGCCGAAGCTGTTGCTAAAGAGAGACCAGAACTCAGTAAGTAAGAAAGGGATCCATCCTGCTCATGCTGTTACCAGCCTGCCTGCTGCATTGCTCAAGATGCTGAGAGGGCTTTGCCTTCTTACATATACATCCACACAATAGGCTGGGGAGTGGGGCCTTCTCTCTCTTCTCTCTAGATGTTGAAATTGCTTTCTCTCTGTTCACACCTTCACTTTATGTGTGGGGCTGCTTGGTCTTGATCTGGTAAACAGAATTACCTAGGTAATTGTAGGCCTGTGAGCCTGACATAGATCCTGGACAAAATAGTGGAACAGATGATATGGTACTCAATTAATAAAGAATTAGAGGAGGGTGGTAATACCAATCAACATGGCTTTATGGGAAATAGATCCTGTCAGACTAACTTGATATCATTTTTTGATTAGATAACAAGTTTGGTTGATAAAGGTAATATCAGTGTTGACGTAATATACCTAGACTTCTCCAAGGGGTATGACTTGGTACCGCATATTTTGATTTAAAAAACTAGAATAATATAAAAGTAACAGGGCATGGATTAAAAACTGGTTAACTGATAGGTCTCAGAATGTAACTGTAAATGGGGACTCTTTGAGCATGTGTGTTTTTAGTGAGGTCCCACAGGGATCAGGTCTAAGCTATGTAATATTTTTGTCAATGACCTGGAAGAAAAAATAAAATTGTTAATGATAAAAATCTGTAAATGAGACAAAGATTGGGAGCGGGGAATAGTAAATAAGGAAGAGGACAGGTCACTGGTACGGAGTAATCTGGATCACTTGGTGTGCTGGGTGCAATTGTGTTTCAGTACAGCCAAATGTAAAGTTATATATTTAGGAACAAAGCGTATAGGCCATACTTACAGGATATGAGACTCTGCCTTGAGAAGAAGTGACTCGGGGTGGGCTGGGGGGGGCACTTGGGGGTCATGGTGGATAATCAGCTGAACATGAACTCCCAGTGTGATACTATGGGCAAAAGGCCTAATGTGATCCTTGGATGTACAAACAGAAGACTCTCAAGCAGGAAAGTGATATTACCTTTTTATTTGGCACTTATGCAACCAGTACTGGAATGCTGTGTCCATTTCTGATGTCCATTAATTCAGTAAGGATGTTGATAAATTGGAGAAGGCTCAGAGAAGAGCTGTGACCCTGAAATGCCTGTTGGTGCCATCCGCACCCTCTTAGTCAATCCTCGTGTCCCACCTAAGTAATTGACCCTTCCTCCTTGAAATTTCCACCCATCAGGATTTTCCCTCCTAACTAGGCTCTTCCCCTTTACCAGTCAATTGCTTCAGGCTCCTTATGGTCATTCTTGCTCTTTTCTGAATGTTCTTCCTTGTGTCCCAGATGGTGAATGCCAAGAAGCTGGAGAAGGCGGAAGCCAAACTGAAGGCCAAGCAGAACAAGAGGACAGAGCGGGATTCCCTGAACCCCACTGGCATACTGTGAGTGTGCACGTGGCTGATGGGCAGGCTCTGATCGCACTGATGAGTGT